CCCCCCTCTTTCCCCCTGCCACCGAGGACACACACATACGCTCGCTCATGCAGCCCGTCGGTCGCCGATGGCGAATGGGCTGTCTACCCCACAGGCGCGCCAGACCCCGACGCCATAGGACGGTAATCGGCTGCTAAATTTGGTAGTAAAATGCACGTGGTGTTTTTGTTTTTGGTCGATGCCCGTGTAAATTTTCTCTGAACTCTCGCTGACTCTTACCACCGGAGCCTCTCGGACAACCTCCTGGATCATCAGCCTGATAGTCCTCGCCAGCCGCACTCTACTCACCTCGGGTGCCGTGGCGTCGCTGCGCTCGGCCTGCTCGTTGGCGCCGGTCGCTGGCGAGGCCGTCGCTGTGGTGGCGTCGCCCCCGTGGTCGTCCTGCTGCTCGCCGATGATCGAGGCGGTGTCGTTGACGGTGGTGTCAGGGGCGTCAGTGGCGTCCTCGACGGAGGGTGGCGGCGGCGGCGCGGTCGGGTCGAGGCGGGCCGCGGTGAGGGCGCGGTCCAGCTGCTCGGCGAGGGCCGTCACCTCCGACAGCCGCTCGGAGATGGCCTCGATGGCCGTGGTGTTGCTGTTGCCCAGGTCAATCGCGGGGGTGGTGGTGGTTGAGCTGCGAGCAAGAGAGAGAGAGAGAGAGAGAGAGAGCGTTTAGAAGGGTGACATTAATTCTTAGAAAGAAAGAGCATCAGTTGCCCGACACAATGTTAGGTGGTGTGGCTTCGTCAACCGATACGCTATTCCTGGGTACCGCCGAAATCTTTTGTCTTGAGACCAGGTCCCAGGTGCGGTTTGAAGGTGGTAGAGAGTGTTACACCCGGCTCCCACCCCGTCAGCCCCAAGTAGGCGTCTGAAAGTAGGCAACTCATAGAACTTCACCCCCGCCCCTCTTTCTGGTCAGCAGGACGGTAAAACCGGCGCCTGCCAGGACCGGCGTGGTTTAAACGCTGTTTCCTCTTTTACAAACTGCCTGCTTCTCCCGCGCGCTGTGTCGCTCACTTGCGGGTGACGACTTAATGTTCGCCCTCAGAGTGCCTCGTTCCGCTCGGTTTAGCGCGGGTCCTTTGGGACGCCCTCGCGGTAACGGCCGGCAGCGGCGGCGGCAGCGGCGGCGATCATCATTGCGAAGCCAAGCAGTCGCCGTCGTTAAGTGTTGACCCGGGTCAAAACGGTGACGATGACAGAGTACGACACGTGTCGGAGAGTGGTCACCCGCCAGAGAAATCCTTTTCTCTTCCATCCATCCAAGTCGTCTCACGCAGAGCAAGGTTCCCCCGCCCCGCCGCCAGTTGTCGTTGGGGGCGGTGTGGAGCGTGACCGGGGCAAGAATGGCCAGCATGTTCGTATATTTAGCCGCGCGTCTTCCCCGCGGTGCCCTGCGGCCGCGGCTCGAGCCCGGGTGCCGGCAGGACATGGATGAGGAAGAGGCCTCGAGGGGGAGCGGGGTGTCTTTATGGAGCAGGAAGCTAAGCGCAGGGGCGGGCGGGCCCTGGCCCTGCAGTCCTAGATGTCGTTGCGAGGCGGAGCGCGAAGGGCTCAGGCACTCACCCCCCCATCCTATGCCCCATGCCTTCCCCCGTGAGAATTGTTATTTGATGTAGACGCCGAGTAGGGATCGCACAGAAAGTACCTCCGTCATACGCCGCCACAAAATTCCCAAGTTCGGC